TTTCATTTTAAGTATTTTAGTAGGTATGTAGTGTTATTGTTTTAATTTACATTTCTGTAATGACTAACGACTTTGAATATATTTTCATGTGTTAATTTGCAATCAGTATGATGAAGTGTTCAAATTTTTTTTTGTTGCTCTTCATTTAAAAAATTGGTTTGTCTCACTATTATTAGGTTTTAACTTTTATATATAGTATGCATATAAGTCTTTTTTAATGTATGTGTCTTTTGAATATTTTCTCTTGGTTTCTAGCTCATACATCATTTTATTAGGGGTACTTTCAAATGGCAGGATTTCTAAACTTTTTTCATGATTCATGCTTTTTGCATCTTAGCTAAGAAACATTTGCGTAACCCAAAGTCACAAAGATTTTATCTGATGTCTTCTCTTAAAAGTGTTACCCGGGTTTTTGTTTTGTTTTGTTTCGTTTTGTTTTTTAGTAATCTCTGCATCCAGTGTGGGGCTCAAACCTACAATCCTGAAATCAAGAGTCATATGCTCCACCAACTGAGCCAGCCAGGCACCCCCTCTTAAAGTATTAAGTTTTAACTCTTAAGTCTCTGATCCATTTTGAGTTAATTTTTTATATGGTGTGAAGTAATAGTCAAAATTCATTTTAAGGGGCACCTGGGTGGCTCAGTGGGTTAAGCCTCTGCCTTTGGCTCAGGTCATGATCCCAGGGTCCTGGGATCAAGCCCCACATCGGGCTCTCTGCTCAGCGGGGAGCCTGCTTCCTCCTCTCTCTCTGCCTGCCTCTCTGCCTACTTGTGATCTCTCTCTCTATCAAATAAATAAATAAAATCTTTCAAAAAAATTCTTTTTAATGTGGAGGTATAATTAGCTCATCACCATTTGTTGAAAAAAAACTATTCTTTCCTTGCCAAATTAATTTTAGCAACATTGTTGAAACTCAGTTGATTGAGGATGCATAGGTGGCTCAGTTGGTTAAGTGTCTGCCTTCAGCTCAGGTCCTGATCCAGGAGTCCTGGGATCTAGTCGTGTGTTGGGCTTCTTGCTCATTGGGGAGCCTGCTTCTCCTTCCCCCTGCTCATGCTCTCTCTCTGATAAATAAATCTTTTTTTTTTTTTAACAAAAAAGGATAAACTCGGTTTATCTATTTCTGGACACTATTGTGTTCCATTGAGCCACATGTCTATCCTTGCAGGATTGCCACACTGTCTTGGTTATTGTAGCCTTATAATAACTCTTGAAATTAGATAGTGTGAGTACCCAAATTTGTTCTCCTTTTTGGAAATCATTTTGCTCTTTGAGATCCTTTACATTTCTGTATAAATTTAAGAATCAGTTTTTCAATGTCTATGAAATATCTTACAGGATTTTAGTTGGGATTGTGATGAATCTATAGATCAATTCAGAGAATTACATCTTAACACTATTGTCTTCCAAATGTGTATGTGGTATTATCTCTCCATTTAGTTCAATCTTCTTTACTGTCTCTGAGCAATGAGTAATAACCTTCAACATACAAACATTGCATTTATTTTGTTAGATTTAGTCACAAATATGTCATGTTTTTGATGCTATTATAAATTGTATGATTTTCTTAGCTTCATTTTTAAATTACTTGTCAACAGTATACAGAATACAATCAATTATGGTACATTAATCCTGAGTCCTGATACCTTTTGAAACTTGCAAATTATAGCAACTCTTTTTATAGATTCTCTTTTTCTTTCCAGATAGACAATAACTCTTCTTTTCCAATCCATATGACTTTTTTTTTTCCTCCTTTTCCTTCTTTCAGTAAATTAAACCTCACAGTAGTGAGGTATACAAATGGTGAGAGCACATTTTCTTGCACTGTTCCAGATCTTAAGAGGAAAGTATTTGGTCTTTAAATGTAAGTATGATCTTAGCTATAGTTTTTTCTTTTTTCTTTTTTTTTAAGATTTTATTTATTTACTTGACAGACAGAGATCATAGGTAGGCAGAGAGGCAGGCAGAGAGAGAGGAAGGGAAGCAGGCTCCCTGCTTTGCAGAGAGCCCAATGTGGGGCTCGATCCCAGGACCCAGGGATCATGACCTGAGCTGAAGGCAGAGGCTTTAACCCACTGAGCCACGCAGGCGCCCAGCTATAGTTTTTTCATAGATGTTCTTTGTCAAGTTTAGGAACTTCCCTTCTATTTGTAGTTTACTTAGAATTGTTATCATAATTAGATGTTGAATTTTGTTATTTTAAAGGGTTTTTTTTATATTTATTAATTTGAGAGAGTCAGAAAGAGAGAGCACAAGACAGGGAGGGGAGGGAGGCAGAGGGAGAGGGGAGAAGCAGACTCCCTGCTAAGCTGGGCGCTTGACAAGGGGCTGGATCCCAGGACATGGAGATCATGACCTGAGCTGAAGGCAGATGCTTAACCATCTGAGTCACCCAGGAGCCCAGATGCTGAATTTTGTTAAATAATTGTTCTGTATCTATTGGATGATCATATGGTTTTTCTTTTCTTTTTTTTTTTTTTAAAGATTTTATTTATTTATTTGACACACAGAGATCACAAGTAGGCAGAGAGGCAGGCAGAGAGAGAGAGAGGAAGGGAAGCAGGCTCCCCGCTGAGCAGAGAGCCCATGCAGGGCTGGATCCCAGGACCCTGGGATCATGACCTGAGCCAAAGGCAGAGGCTTTAACCCACTGAGCCAGGCAGGGGCCCCTGGAGCCTCTTTTATAAGAGCATTAATCCTATTCATGAGGACTCTGCTTACATATGAACGGGGGGGGGGCACAAACATTCAATCTATAGCAAATTTGCATACCATTTAAACTACACAATTCAGTGATTTTTAGTAAATTGACAAAGTTGTACAACTGTCTCCAAAATCCAGTTTTAGAACATTTCTATCACACCAAAATAATTTCTTGTGCCCATTTGAAGTCACCTTTGTTCCCACATCCCAGCCCTAGGCAACCACTAATAAACTTTATTTTTCTATAGATTTGCCTTTTCTGAACATTTCATATGAATGGAATTATACAGCATGTGTTATGCATCTAGGTTCTTTGAGATTTATTCATTCTGTAGCCTCTGTGTCAGTTGTTTGTTCCTATATACTGCTGACATTGTTCCATTACTTAGATATAACTACCACATTATGGTTATATCTATGCTAGTTGATAGACATTTGGATTGTTTCCACTTTGAACTCTTATGAATAATGTTGCTATGAAAATTTGTATACAAGTCTTTGCGTAGACTTGTTCTCATTTTCTTGGATAGACATCTAGGAGTGGAATTGCTGGGTTTTATCATAAATTTATGTTTAATTTCTAAGAAACTGCCCTAGTAGCTGTACCATTTATGTCCATCAGCAACATATGAGGGTTCTATTTCTCCATATTTTTGCAACACTTGTTATTCTCTGTCTTTTTGATTATAGCCATACTAGTGGGTGTGAAGTGGTATTTTGTTGGAGTTTTAATTTGTATTTCCTTAATGACTAATATATTAAGCATCTTGCCATGTGCTTCATTCATATATTTTCTTTTGTAAAATACCTATTCAAATATTTGTCCATTTATAATTGGGTTGTTTGGGGGTTTCTTTTAAATTTCTATCACTACTTTTTCTATTTATGGGATTTCTAATTGTATTTTATAATTTTATTTGTTTTATAATTTCTTGTTATTTTTCATAAACACGTTACTTCTTCATTGATCTCTTTGAGGACTTGTTTTTTTTTTAAGATTTTATTTATTTGTCAGAGAGAGAGGGAGAGAGAGCAAGCACAGGCAGACAGAATGGCAGGCAGAGGCAGAGGGAGAAGCAGGCTCCCCACCGAGCAAGGAGCCCAATGTGGGACTTGATCCCAGGACGCTGGGATCATGACCCGAGCCGAAGGCAGCTGCCTAACCAACTGAGCCACCCAGGCGTCCCTCTTTGAGGATCTTTAACATAATTATATTTTCTTTAGTTTTAATGGAAAATTTCAAACATAGACAAGTGGAAAAAGAGTATAGCGAATGTTCATGAATTCATCACACATCTTAATATGTCTCCCATCTCTTTTGTGAGGTCGGTTCTTTAGAAAACCTTGTCTTGGTTACACGAGACACACCTACTGAAACCCTTCTCACATGTAACGAGTTTCCCCATGTACATGGTACCGTTGGGATAGTATGGCTTTTCTTTGTCATGCAATAACTGATCTCTTTATGACTAGTAACAGAATGTTCTAAAATCCATGGTGTTTGTCTTACCCACCTTTGGATTTCAGATGAGCTATACATTCCAATAGGACAGGAGGGGATGATATTCAGGAGGTTTTATGTACAGAAGAACCCTCTTTCAAAGCTTATGTCTTGACTTGGTGAGAGATCACATGGTCCTAAACCTCCTAGAAGAATTTTGTAGTAAGAGATTACGGGAGAGTTCATTACCAGACTCACACTTTGGCTTCTATATCAACCTCCCTCTCATATGTTTACTTTTAGTTGAGCGCACCTCATTTCTTTTTTTAAAATAAGTGCTCTCTACATCCAATGTGGGGCTTGAACTCACAACCCTGAGATCAAGAGTCACATGTTCCACCGACTGAGCCAGCAAGACAACCCAAGCTCTCTTTCTTTCTTTCTCTCTCTCTCTCTCCTTTCCTTCCTTCCTTCCTTCCTTCCTTCTTTCTTATTGATTTATTTTAGAGAGAGAGATAGAAAGAGAGCGGGGTGAGTGGCAGAGGGGGGGAGAGATAGAGAGAAAACCTCAAGCGGACTCCCTGCTGAGCATAGAGCCTGACACAGGCATCAATCTCATCAATCTCATCAAACCCTGAGATCATGACCTGAAACAAAACCAAGAGTCAGATGCTCAACCAACTGAGCCACCCAGGCACCCCTCACCTCCTTTCTTAAAGAGTTATAGATCTCACTGTGGTAAAGGTCACCCCACCTTCCTTTCCTTCACAAAACTCACTATGGAAATTATTGTAGGGATATTGTTAAGAATGTTTACTGTCACACAGTGTCCCTTTAATGGTAATATTTCTTTCAGGTTTCAATATAAGGAAAATTTCTGCTTCTGAGACATATTACCCTAATGACTCTTGTGAATCTTATAACTGATCACATTTACTCATTGGCTTTGACTGAAAGGATTCTAAAACTAAACTTGTGGCTCACATCTAAAAATTGTCCAGGATTCTATGGTATGTATTTCTTGTATCATCTCATAACTAATTCAGGCTGAATTTTGATATCTTCCCTTGTCATTGTTTTTCTAAAGTGTTAATCTTTTTAAGTTTCTGCCCTGATATTATTTGTATTCATGTAAGTCGAAAAATAAATGCAATTAGAGAATAGGGCTAGGAATGTTTTCACACACACAAGAAATGGTTTAAAGTGGCACTTGTATCACGGAATTAATGAGTATTTTACATTTTAATATAAAGTCAGAGTTTCAGATTTTTAGATTGCATCTGTAAGCTTTTTCTCATCATTAACCAGGTTTTTGTTGCACAGTCCAAAAGTAGAGAAGTTAGAAAATATTCGTCCTATAACAAACATTTTTATTTTATTTTTCTAATTTTTAAAAAAGATTTCTTTAATTTACTTGACAGAGAGCTAGAGAACACATGTAGGCAGAGCAGCAGGCAGAGGGAGAGGGAGAAGCAGTCTCTCTGTTCAGCAGAGATGCAGGGCTTGAACCCAGGACCCTGAGATCATGACCTGAGCCGAAGGCAGAGGCTTAACCCACTGAGCCACCCAGGTGCCCCGAGACCCATTACAATTCTTAAACATTCATACAGAGATGAGTAAAACAAAGGACTTACCCTTTACAAGGTCACAGTAGAGTGAGAGAAGGGTAAATGGATTAATAAAATATTCTAAATTCTCTAATAGTGGTTATAAACATAAGTTTATTAATACAAAGCGGAGAAACATGGACTCTAATTGCAAAGCTAAAGGAAGATTCAGAGGTTATGACATTGGCTTTGTTTTTGTGTTAGGGGAAAAGGTATCAGTCTTTTACTATTAACTCTGATATTAGCTGGAAGTTTTTTAAAGATGCCTTGTTTTAAAATGAATGATTTAGAATTTTTTCCCCATTGTTTTCTGTAAGTTACCATGAAAGGGTGTTGAATTTTGTCAAGTGATTTTTTTTAATCTTTAGAGATGATCATATACTTTTCTTTTTTTAGTGTAATGATATGATAAATTACATTGACTGATATTTTATCAAACCACCCATGTATTCCTGTGATAAAATACACTTGTTCATGGTGTATTATTGTCCATTTTTATATATGGCTAGATTTGATTTACTAAAATTTTGGTAAAGATTTAGCCATCTATGTTCATGAGGGATATTGGTCTAAGTTTTCTTTTAATACTTTTGCTCTGGTTTTAGGGTAATGGTGGCCCCATAAATGAGTTGAGATGTATTCACTTCTGTATTATCTATAAGAGTTTGTGTAGGATTGGTATTCTTTTAGACTTCATCAGAGAAGTCATCTGGACCTCAAGTTTTCTTTAGGGAATTTCTAAAACAATGAATTCAATGTATGGATCTGAAGTGAAATCCTTTTCCTCATTCCTGATGTTGGCAATTTATTTCTTCTCTCTTTTGTTAATCCTTAAATAGTCTGGTTATTAGTTTATCTGTATTACTGATACTCTTAGAGAACCAGGTTTCACTGATTCCTATTACTTTTGTTTTCTATTTCATTGATTTCTGCTATTTTTGTGGGTTTTTTGTTGTTTTTTATGTTTGTGTGTTTGTTTTTATCTTTGGCCCCTTTTCCCATTTCTCTTATCCTCCCAACCCCTGCCTTTGGCAACCACCAATCTGTTCTCTGTATCTGTGATCTTGTTTTTGTTTCTTTCTTTAGATTACACATATAAGAAAGATTATACAGTATTCTTCTTTCTCTGTCTGACTTATTTCACTTAGCATAATGCATCAAAGTTCATCTGTATTGTCACAAATGACAAGATTTCCTTCTTTTTTATGTGCTAATAATAATCCATCGTGTATATATACCACAATTTCTTTAGCCATTCATCCGTCAGTGGACATTTAGGTTGTTTCCACATCTTGGCTACTGTAAATAGTGCTCAGTGAACATGAGGATACATAGATCTTTTTAAGCTGTTGTTTTTATTTTCTTTGGATAAATACCTAGAAGTGGAATCGCTCAATCATAGATAGTAGCTCTATTAATTTTTTTAGGAACCTCAGTACTGTTTCCCATAATGACTGTACCAATTTATATTCCTACCCACATTGTGCAAGGGTTCCCTTTTCTCCGCATTCTCTGCAACACTAGTTATCTCTTGTCTTTTTAAACTAGTCATTCTGATCAATATGAAGTGATATCTTATTGTGGTTGTGACTTGCATCTTCCTGATAATTAGTGATTTTGAGCATGTTTGCCTGTGTCTGCTTGCCATCTGTATGTCTTTGGAGAAATGTGTATTCAGGTCCTCTCTTCATTTTTTCATTGCATTGTTTGGGGGTTTTTGCAACTGAATTACATGCATATTTATATATTGTGGATATTGACTCCTTATCAGTGTATATAATCTGCAAGTATTTCTCCTATTCAGTAGATTGACTTTTTTATTTTTATGTATTTATTTTTAAAGATTTAATTAATTAATTAATTTGAGAGAGAGAGAGCATGCATGAGTGTATGTGAGGGAGCAGGCAGAGGCAGAGTGGAAAGTAGAAAGAATCTGAAGCAGACTCCATTCTGAGCCCAAAGTCAGAGGTGTGAGATCATGACCTGAGCCAAAACCAAGAGCTGAGTACTTAACCCACTATGCCACCCAGGCATACCCCTTTTTTTTGTTGACTGTTTTCTTTGCTGTTCAGCTTTTTAGTTTTTATGTAATCTCACTTGTTTATTTTTCTTTCTGTTATTTTTACTTTCAGTGTCAGATTTTTTAAATCATCACCAACACCTATATTAAACTTCCCACCAATGTTTTCTTGTAGGGATTTTATGGTTTCAGGTCTTATGTTCAAATATTTAATCCATTTTTAATTGATTTTTGTATACGCTATATGATAGTGTTCTAGTTTTATTCTTTCGCATGTGGCTGTTCAGTTACCCGACACCATTTATTGAAGAGGCTATCTTTTCCCCATTGTATATTTTTGACTCCTTTATTCTAACTTAATTAACCATATATTTGTGGGCTTATTTCTGGCTCTCTGTTCTTTTCCATTGATCCATGTGTCTTTTTATGCCAATACCATACTATTTTGATTACTAAAGCTTTCTAAGTTGACCCTTGAACAGGAGTTTGAACTGCATGGATTCACTTATATGCAGTTTTTTCTATACAGTATAGTAATGTAAATGTATTTTCTCTTACTCATGGTTTTCTTAATAACATTTTTTCTAGCTTACTTTATTTATAATAATATAGTATATGATACATATTACATATATATGTTTTAATTTACTGTATTATCAGTAAGACTTTTGGTCAACAGCAGGCTATTGATAGCTAAGTTTTGGGGAGTCCAAAGTTACACAAGGATTTTTTGACTGCCTGGGAGTTGGTGCTCCTAACCCCTGTGCTGTTCAAGGAGCAACTGTAATAGAGTTTGAAATCAAGGACCATCATGCCTCCAACTTTGTTCTTCTTTCTAAAGATTGCTTTGGCTCTTTCAGATCTTTTGTGACTCCATATAAATTTTAGGATTGTTCTATTTCTGTGAAAAACACCATTGTAATTTTGATTAGGATTTCATTGAATCTGTAGCTTGCTTTGGGTAATATGGGCATTTTAACAATACTAGTTCTTTCATTTCATGAGCATGCAATATCCTTCCACTTAAATTGTGTCCACTTCAATTTTTTCCCTTAATCTCTTGTAATTTTCAGTATAGAAGTCTTTCACCTACTTGGTTAAATTTATCCCTAGGTATATTAGTCTTCTTGATGTAACCGTAAATGGGATTATTTTCTTAATTTATTTTTCTTATAACTTGTAATTAGTGTCAAAAAATGCAACAATTTCTATGTATTGATTTTTTTATCCCACAACATTACTGAATTCATTTATTCTAACAGTTTTCTGATAGAGTCTTTAGGATTTTCTATGTACAGTATCATGCCATCTGCAAATAGTGACAGTTTTACTTCCTCCTTACCAATTTAGATGCCTTGTGTTTATTTTTCTTGCCTAATTACTGTGACTAGGTCTTCTGATACTATGTTGAATAAAAGTAGTGAACATACTCGTGTTGTTACTGATCTTAGAGCTTTTCCACTGAGTATGATGATAGCTCTGGGCTTGTTGTATATTGCCTTTATTATATCAAGGTGCATTCCCTATATACCGACTTTGTTTAGAGTTCTTTTTATCCTAAGTGGGTGCTGAGATTTATCATATTCCTTTTCTGCATCTATTGAAATGATCATGTAATTTTTCTCCTTTTTGTTAATGTGGTATATCACATTGACAGATTTGCAGGTGTTGAGCCATCCTTACATTGCTGGAATAAATCCTGCTTGATCATGGCATATAATCCTTTTAATGTATTGTTGAATTTGATTTGCTAATATTTAATTGAGGGTATTTGCTTCTATGTTCACCAAGGGTATTGGCCTGTAATTTTCTTTTTTGTAGTATCCTTGTCTAGTTTTGGAATCAGGCTAATGCTGACCTCATAAGATGAAATTGGAAGAGGTCCCTCCTCTTCTACTTTTGGAAGAGTTTGAGAAGAATTGATATTACTCATTCTTTGAATATTTGGTAGAACTCACCCATGAAGCCATCTGGTCTTGGGTTTTGTTTATTGGGAGGTTTTTCCTTTATTGATTCTATTTACTTTTTAGTAATTGGTCTGTTCAGATTTTTTAATTTCATGATTCAGTCTTTGTAGATTGTATATGTTTCTAGGAATTTATCCATTTTTTTCTAAGTTCATTTTTTCAAAAGTTCAAAATTTCTGCTCTTATTTTTCTTGTCTGAAATATTTAATGTTTATTTTGTTTCCCTTAAGTTTATTTTGTTTTCCAGAGTTTATATTATTTTGTAAAATATTTTATTCATTTGCGAGAGAAAGAAAGAACATGAGCTGGGGGGGAGGTGAGGGAGAGGGAGAAGCAGACTCCCCACTGAGCAAGGAGCCCAATACAGGGCTCAATCCTAGGGCCCCTAGGTCATGACCGGAACTGAAGGCAGATGCTTAACCATCTGAGCCACCCAGGTGCCCCACCAGAATTTATATTATGTATAAACACAATAACATAGTACATAGACATAACAGATCTCAGATGATTTCTATAAATAAAATTTCAAGCACAATGTCCTGAACACAATTAAAGATGAAGCACACACACACAGAGACATACATGTACACACATACACACATACAAAAGATGAAGAAATACACAAAGAGACAAAGTGCCATGTGTCAAAATGAGCAGGAGAACCAGACAGAAGAAAACAGTTCACAGGGACTCCAGAAATTATAATTATCAGTCACAGACTTTGTAAGGCAACTATGATTATTGACAAAAATCAAACTGAGGGCACCTGGGTGACTCAGTCAGTTAAGCATCCAACTCTTGATTTCAATTCAGGTCATGATCTCAGGGTTGTGAGATTGAGTCCCACATTGGGCTCTGTGCTGGGTGTGGAGCCTGTTTAAGATTCTCTCGCTCCCTCTCCCTCTGTCCCTCCTTCTCTCTTAAGAAAAAAAAGTGACATAGCAGATGTTGGGGAAAAAATTGAAATTCCAGAAATGAAAATATGTAATACCAAATTTTAAAAAATGGTTTAGTGTATTAGTCGCAATTGAAGAGAAAATTAGGTGACTAGAATAAATTTCAGAAGAAATTACCCAGAATGAAGCTGGCAGTAATTAGATATTGTATAAATAATATATTGTTTTACTATTTATTTATTATATTATTACTAATAAATAATATATTTTATAAATAATATAAGGAACCAGAGACCTATTACCTGATTGAAGTGAGAGTTTCTAACATATTTAGTTGGAGTCCCAGAAGAGAAAGAGAAGAAATGGATCTGAGGCAATATTCTGAAGACATGATTGCTGATAATCCACTAATTCAAGAAGCCTTACAAAGCCCAAGCAGAATATGTAAAAATAAATCCTCATCTAAACATGTAACAATGTAAATCCTCATCTAAACATGTAACAATGAAACTTTAGTAAATCAAGACAAGGAGAAAACTGTTGAAATACCTAGAAAAAAACAGATTAGCTTTGAGGAAGCTGCAGTTAAACTCACCACTGACATCTCAATGATGCAAGCTTCAAAAGACAGTGAAATGGTATCCTCATGGTACTGCGGGAAAATAAGTACCATCCTAGAAATGCTTCAGTAATGAAGGCAAAATTAATGTATTTTCAAGGAAAGTAAGACATTGCCAGTAGAAGATAAACGTTATAGAATATTCTATAAGTTATTCATCGTGCAGAAGGAAATCTTGCCTGAAAGATCAGATGCAGAAAGCAATGACGACCAAGTAAAATAATAATTCTGATGGTAAATCTGAATCACATTGACTTTGAAAATACGGGGTGTGAGAAAATAATAATGTCTTGTGGCACTTAAATAATAACAGTTATAATACATAACAAAACATATTGTAAGTAATGTGTGTGTATGTGTATGTGGGGGTGTATGTGGTAAATGTTGTTAAAATATTTATGGATTCTTCCCCAGGAGGATAATAAAGGTAGCAATATTAGGTTTAGTTAAGTAAGGATTACTTTCTAAGGTAACCACTAAGAGATTGAAACAGGGTGTAACCACACAGAGATGCCACTACCCACTTTCTACCCACTAGGATGACCATAATAAAAAGACACATTAACAAGTGTTGGCAAGGATATGGAGAAATGAAAACTCTCACATACTATTGAAAGGAATGTAAAATTGTGCAAACACTGTGGAAAACAGTTTGATGCTGTTTCAAAAACCTAATCATAAGGATGCCTGGGTGGTCCAGTGGGTTAAGCATCCAACTCTTGATCTCAGCTCAGGTCTTAATCTCAGGATCCTGAGTTCAAGCCACGCACTGGGCTCCACACTGGGTGTGGAGCCTTCTATATAAAACAAAAACCAAAAAAATAAACATTTGGAGCATCTGGGTATCTCAGTTGGTTAGGTGTCTGGCTCTTGATCTCAGCTGAGGTCTCCATCTCAGGGTCAGGAGTGCAAGCCCCACATTGGGCTCAACCCTGGACATGGAGCCTACATTTTAAAAAAGAAGAATAAAAAACGAAAAGGTAATCATATAATTACTTATGACTAGTATATAACTCAACAAATTGAAAACAGGGACTCAAAACAACTACATGTACATGAATGTTCTTAACAGTGTTATCCGCAATAGCTAAAAGGTGGAAATGATCTATCAAGAGATGAATAAGGGGGGACCTGGCTGGCTCAGTTGCTAGGCATCTGCCTTCAGCTTGTGTCATGATCCCAGGGTTCTGGGATCGAGCCCCGCATCAGGCTCCCTGCTTGATTGGAAGCCTGCTTTTCCCTCCCCAACTTTCCCTGCTTTGTTCCCTCTCTTGCTGTGTCTCTCTCTGTCAAATAAGTAAATAAAATCTTTAAAAAAAAGAAGATGAATAAGTAATTTTAGAATTTTGTAACTCTTCTTCAGTTCTGGGGATTTCTTATCATTTCTTTCATAATTTCTTTTCTCTCTATTCTTTGTTCTCCTTTCCTGGAACTTCTAGTAGATATTTTACTTCTAGGTTTGGTCCTCTATAACTCATCTTTTCTTTTGTGTTTCTTTTCCTTTCTATCTTATATCCTGGAAAATTTTCTTGCCTTTATCTTTCAACTTTTCTGTTGAATTTTAGTTTGAAAAATCATTTTAATTTCTAAGAATTCTTTCCTGCTTTTTAAAGAAATAACATCCCTTTCCTCTTATAAGGATGCAGTATCATTTTTAGTTTCTGAAGATATGAGGGGTTTAAAATATATTCTCCCTTGTTTGTTCAATTATATCTACTCTCTATAGTCATTTTTAAAAATGTTCTTCTTGGTCTCTTTCATGTTACAGGTTTCCCAAATATCTGACATATCTTGGTTGTCAATAAATATTTTTAAGGGGTGCCTGGGCGGCTCAGTGGGTTGAGCCTTTGCTCAACCGAAGGGCTCAGGTCGTGATCTCGGGGTCCTAGTATCAAGCCCGGCATAGGGCTCTCTGCACGGCGGAGAGCCTGCTTCCTCCTCTCTCTCTGCCTACTTGTGATCTCTCTCTGTCAAATAAATAAATAAAATCTTTAAAAAATAAATACTTTTAAATGATGTACTACATCAAAACTAATTGAAGTCTGTGTGAAAAGGTGATACCTCCTGCCAGACAGCTGTGGGCAGGTGGGGCCTGTAAGGATTTGAATGTGAAGTATTTGGTGTAGTTTTTTTTCGTACCAGCTGCTCTACTCTAGTTCCTCTCAACCAATTCAGTCTGTTTCTTTTCAGAAGTCCCTATCGTTTTTAATTTCAAGGCTTACATGCCATATATTTTTTACATGGTGAAGAGAGGCGTGGAAAGTTTTGACCATGCCACATGTAGACTTACAATTATTCTCTCTCTCTTTAAAGATCTTATTTTTAAGTAATCTGTACATCCAACATGCAGCTTAAACTCAACCCCTAGATGAAGAGTTTCATGGTCTACCAGCTGAGCTGACCGGGAGCCCCTAGCTGAATAATTTTTTAAATAAAATTTTCTGTTTGAAGATTATCTTAAATGTACATCTTTGAGAAAAAAAATGTTAGAACTTTAGGTGGTCTGAAAAATGAACTTCATGTTGAGATGTTTAAGAAATTTTTATTCAGCAGGTGGCACTATTTCCTAGTTTAACTCAATCCTGAATTAGTGTTTGGAGTGTTCAGAGTAGAATGATTTTATTTATCTTTATAATCCAGATAAAATAAAAGTTTCAGAGTTTGGTCATAATCAACTTTGACCAATTTTATATTTTCTGAACTTTCTGAGCAAATTTCAAAGTAAGATATTAAACTAAAATCTCGAAATAATCTTTTCAATGTTCTTAAACAGTAGTGTAAAAATGACTTATGCTGTAGCAAAATGTAAAAATAATTAAAATCTTACCAGAAGCACTGAGTACTAAAAGTCATCTTTAGTACAACTTTAGTACATCTGACTAAAGTCAGAATGAGGTTGTTGAATATTTTTAAAATCTTTCATTACATGGGCAGTTTTATTTAATTCCCTTTTTTCTTCTGTGTATTTCCTTATGAATATTCCCCCGTTATATCTGTATTTCAAATGTACTGTATAATCTATAATTGAAACACGGTCTCTGTTTGCAATCCCATAACCCAAAATTATAGTCAAGATACATATTAGGCAGTTAAACAAATACCAGTATGGTTTCAGGAAACATTTGCTGTTTGGGGAAAACTACATGACCTATGAGTAGCAAGCAAATACATAGAAACATCTTTACTTCCTGTTCTGAATTTGCAAATAATTTGCCAGTATCTAAATCACACATGAGGGGCACCTGGGTGGCTCAGTGGGTTAAGCCTCTGCCTTCAGCTTGGATCATGATCCTGGGGTCCTGGGATGGAGTCCCACAACAGGCTCTCTGCTCAGCAGGGAGCCTGCTTCCCTTCCTCTCTCTCTGCCTGCCTGTGATCTCTGTCTGTCAAATAAATAAATAAAATCTTTAAAAAAAAATCACACTTGAAACTGTAATATTCACAAGGTTCATATAAACCTTACTAGGTCTGAAGGAAACCATAAAATGTTAGAGCTCTGATGCTGGAGATTATGTAACCTAAACCTTTTTTTTTTTTTAAGTTTTTTAAAAATTTATTCATTCAACACAGAGAGAGAGAGATCACAAGTAGGCAGAGAGGCAGGCAGAGAGAGAGGAGGAAGCAGGCTCCCTGCTGTGCAGAGAGCCCGATGCGATGCGGGGCTCCATCCCAGGACCCTGAGATCATGACCTGAGCCGAAGGTAGAGGCTTAACCCACTGAGCCACCCAGGCGTCCCTGTAACCTAAACGTTTTAATGATCAGAAACTTGTGAATTTTTTTATTGCTAACAGAAGAGAGTACTTCAGAAATTATGGATTTTAAGAGTAGCACTGCAAAAGAATTCCAAAAAGAGTTAAAACAACTTAGTATAAAATTTTACCAATAAACCTGTTACCAACCTTGACTAAGAATATAAAAATACTGGTAATTGACAGAGTAAAATATTTCTGAGAGCAGTTGTCAATCAATCCAAACAACTCAGTTGTCACACTACGGTTATGTGACCATGGTGAGTGGTGGCTTTCTCTTTCATTTTCCTCGAGTTTTATTTGAAAATATACTTCATAGAAGCATGCCCTCAAACATTTGGCCAGATAACCAGAAATATTTCAGGATACTTGAAGTTTCAAATGCTTGTCTACAAAATTCCAGGCATTCTATGTTTCTTTGCTAGTCCATAATTTGTCACCTCACTCACTCTTTTAGAAACTGAGCCACGTGGATAGTATGAGTGCTTGATAATTTAAATGTATCTTGAAGGTTGCATTCCAAAAGCGGTCAGAGAAACTTTAAAAATTATAAAAATTCATCAAAATTTTACTCTTTTGATGTTATCCCTCCACCAAATAACTCCTCAATTTTTCAGTCTATAATTCAAAATAGTTTCAACAGATTAAAAAATAACTTCAGAGTAGTTTAGTAGTAGGAAAGTGCTGTCTCTAATGATTCTTCTGTTTCTCTGTTTTTCTGCCTCTGTATGTATAATAAAGATGATAATCTTCAAACTAAACACAGTCTGTGTTTGTAATTTTATAAGCTAAAATTAAGTTTTATATATAATGCTTTAATAAGGTCCTCTGTTGCCTCAACTAAATCAGCAGTGCTGTAGAATCTATAAAATTATCTTTCCAGTTTCAAGGTTCAGACATATCTTCGTACATTAATTGGAGAATAAAATGTTGCGAATCACTAAGAGCTCTGACTAGTGCATCTCTTAGGTCCTTTAATTCTTCGTAAACCTTTTCATCTGGGGAAATGGTTCAGTAAATATTTTCAGCAAGTTCCCAAGGTCTCCCTATCTCATTACATTAAATCTCCAAACTTTGCTGCA